TAATTTGAATTTTTGGAAACTTTAACTGTGCTGTCAACTTTGGAAAAAGTTATCCCAGGTTACCATATTGAGTTGGCATTGTACAGAAATTAACAGCCATATTGGTCAAGAAACGTTAAAACTTAATTTTTTTTTTTCCATTTGTACAGGGGTAACGCACTGTATTAAATATGTAAGGTCTTATCTACGTGGGTTTGATTACAGAAACTAATAAAGTATTCTCTAAATAATGATTCTTGTGCTTTTGGTCCATTTTTCAAATCTGAAGCAAGATATGTCATGTGCCTAAAGTAGTGATCAGAATGCTTTAGGCTTCAGGAAAAGGATCACCTAAAATTTGATTTCCACTTTTCAAGAATTTTTGGGGGCCAGGGAGATGGCTCTGTAGAATAAGCGCTTGCCTGGCAAGTACAAGGCCTGAGTTCAATCCCTGGTTCTTCAAAAAAAAAGAATTTTTGGCTTGTTCAGACCAGGCGTTGTTGCAGAGAAGAATTGTTCTCGGGGTGGTCAAGCTTAGAGCGAGACAGTCTGTCAAGGAGGCATCTTACTAATGATTCAGAATGTCAAATACAGGAAAGGAGGCACCATTCTTCTAAACAGAAATTGAAGCTTCAAAAATAGTATTTATGTTCATGTAGGCAGAATTTTTCTTTTTTTTCAGTTTGAAGAGTACTGAAAGATTGTCTTCAAATTCCCAAAGTAATCCAGAGCATGTGGCTTCCAGACCAGCTGTAGCAAAACTAGTGGTTCCACATTAATGATATGTATGCCTTCTTTATGCATGGACAGTGACTATGAAAGTACTCAAAGACACCCACCTAAGCTTTTTTTTTTTTTAATTTATTTTTTTTATTTATATATTTTGTGTGTGTGTGTGGCCAGCTCAGCCCACCAGGGGGCGGGGCTGGCTGGCATGTGGTGCTGGGGGATTGAACCCTGGTCCCTGCGCTTTGCTGAGTTTGTTCTAAGTAGGTGCTTTAGACCACTGAGCCATCTCACCAGCCCCCACCTAAGCTTTTTGATACACTTTTCCCCCCAAAATCTGCTCTAAATTAACTCTTGACTTTCTGTATTGGGGAGAGGAGTCTGATAAAAATAGGAAATGCAGACTACCAAGGAGCTACCGTTTCACATCCTCGCCTTAGTGAGTCCATCAGTTTACCTCCGTGTTTCATGTGGTGATGCTTAGCTTAGTCTTCCTCAGTTTTAGGACCCAACAGGTAACCAGTTTTACGCTGCCCAGTTGGCTCTGTTTACATGCACTACCACTAATGCCTTTCTAATGGACAAGTGGCAGCAAAAGCCTATCTAATGACAGGTATTTGCAGAAGAGTCTTCTACACTAGTTCTGGGTCATGCAGATGTTATGTCTGGCTTCTCTGACATACAGTACAATAATCCAGAAGATGACACTATTTGTAGCAGATGTGGTCACATAACCTGAACATTCTTGGATCCTTGAGGTGCTGTAGTGAAGAATTGTCGTCCAGGTTTTTGTCCTTTGTTGATGAATTGTGCTAACAATAGGATAATTGGGGTGAGGAAAGGGTATGGATTGAGATGACTTCATTTTTACAATATAAATTATTTTAAAATAAGTTATGACTTGGCTGGAGGCAAGATAAAACGAGACCATAAAGATTTGACAGACCAGTCAGAACCATCTTCACCAACAGGTGATATCTCCTGCTGCCATACCCTGTTCCATAGTCCTTATTGTCTTCTCTTCCTGAAGTCTTTCTACCCCGAGTAAATAACAAAGCCTTTTTAAATGCACTATAGAAGCTTAAGATTTATTAATTGTTCTAAGAACTTTCAACCATAAAATGTCGCTGGGGAGATGGCTCAGTGGAATAAGCACTTCCCTGGCAAGTGCAAGGGCCTGAGTTCAATCCCTGGTTCCACAAAAAAAAAAAAATGTTTGTCCATTGGAAGAGCAGAACTGACCCACTTTAACATTCATGTGGGTTTTAGGTCTCCAAAGAAAATTTTCTTTACCACCTTCTTGGCATACTGGTCTTTTGTGTTCTCTGCGTAGGACAATCTGCTTTTGGAGCTCCAAAGCAAAGGCTCTGTAGTTTTTCAGAAGACAGTGGCAACAGTTTTAAAGCACAATGCTTCTGATTTTCAGTATATCTTGGAATATAATACATTTCCATGGTAATTTGAGCTTGATATGTTGTCCTTTGGATTCTGAAGTGGCTCTTTCTGGAGCTGATTAGGAAATGTGAAACTTGGGAATATTCTTAATTGCTTGATCATACACATTTCCTAAGCTTTTCATGTAGTGTTATGCCATTTCTTTGCAACATCTGCTAGTCTTACATACAAATATCTGTGGTCTTCATTTTTATTTGTAAGATGAAGGCAATCTGAACACAGAATTCCTTTGCATTTTTATACTTGCCCTTAGTTGTCTAGATTTGTTTGTGTGTGTGGCCAGCTCAGCCTACCCTGGGTGTGGGGCTGGTGCAGCATGTAGTGCCAGGGATCAAACCACAATCCCTGCCTGCTTGCCTAAGCTTTCCTAAGCAGGCACTTTAGACCACTGAGCTATCTCGCTGCCCCAAGTTTTCTAGATTTTCCCATGCCAAATTTGATAGTATTTCAGAGTGAAAAAATAAACCAAGTAACAAGCTATATGTTTGGTGTGGTCACGGGTTAGTAAGTTAAAATTTGGATAACAGAACCATTTGCTCTGTATTTCTTCTTTACATTCCCTTCGCAGTGTGCACTAGAAGAGAAACTTAAAATGAGGTTCTGGAGTAATTATATGAAGGGTCAGGTATTCACTGTGAGCGGTGCAGGAAATGTACTAGGTATGTTTAAGAATAATATTTCCCATGAACCATAAAAATGCTTCCCCTTGGTGACCCTGACAGCACCCTGTTACCCGCCTTCACCAAGTCTCAAACCTCTTATCCAGCAGGCAGCTAGCAAGACTGGGGGCTCTGTACCTCCAGCTTCTCCAGCACCGGCTGGCCCGGCTCCAGAGGCCCCTTACACACCTGCTGCATCTGGCCGACCCTCAGATTCAGGCTGGGACCATGGCATTCAGAGCCAAAAGAAAAACGCCTACCTGCTGTCTGCATTCTCCACTTTTATTTATATGTATGTTTTTTGCAGTACCAGGGATTGAACACAGGACCTTGCACTTGTACTGTCTGCATTCTCCATGAAGCAGGTCCTAAACCTCAGGTTGGTGAGTGTTTGTGAAAAGGCTCCACTTACGTTTCTTCGCTGTGGATTGCCCGTAGTAGATTGGCAAATGTAATTAAAGAAATAGGTCTTCCAGATAACTTGAGGACACCATCCAATTATTAGAGTTGATATATCCAGGGACTTCTTAGATTTTAAGGACAGAAGTACCAAAGATGCCAAAGTATTATTTTACAAATACTGCAGTATAGATCTGAAACTGACACAATGACATCTTCATCATGGGCCAGGGAGTGATTGACTGCAAGGAGAGCTTCGAGTGGATCCTGTTGACAGCCACAAAGTTCAGAACTTTATGGATCAACCCTGCGTGACTCACATTCCTATTGGAACCCTGCAGCTGTCTTCTATTTATTGGGGGGAGAGGAAATCCATCTCATTAAAAACATGGGCAGTATAAATCCAAACTCTTAAGTTAGAGTTATTGAAGATGGCTATGACAGTGCTCGGCATCTGTAATTCATACTAACCCTCCTGAATGAGAACTAAAAGCAGAATCACCAGGACAGCAAACACAAATTACGGGCCATCAAAAACTCCCCTCACATTGGGGAATCATCTCTTTCACTAACGTCTCAACTTCTGGAGAATGGAGCAAGAGCAGCTGCGGAACAGCCCATCTCGGGGGTTTGCCCCACTCGAGTCCAAGTCGTGCTGGAAAATGAGAATTTCACTGTGAAAATGACCAAGGAGGTGATGTTCCTTTAAGGAAAACTGACTCTTCCACTTCCCAAGCAGTGCTGCTGCCCAGCTTTCGTCATGGGTTGTCCGCACAGTGCTCCTTGCAAAGGGACCCCAAGCTCTACTCTAGAGAGCTGCAGCACAGATGCCGTTATCTGTAGAAAGGCTGAGCCAACAGAAGAAGCCAGAAGACTCCCAGTGTATAGTAAATTTGTCTGAAGGGTTATAACAGCCATGAGGATGATGACTGGTATGTCCCCAGTAGACAGCTGATGGCCACTACAACAGTGACCCATAGTGCCTGGATGCACTTGGGACACCTGCAAAGTCCAAGTGTGGTTTAACTGTTAAATTTGAAAGAGTTGTCATTCAGAACTCTTTGTCTTGGGGCCAGGGAGATGGCTCAGTAGAATAAGCAATTGCCTGCAAGCACAAGAGCCTGAGTTCAATCCCCGGTTCCACCAAAAAAAAACAAAACAAAACAAAAAACA